GATGTATAAAATCCAATTGGAATTTTATTATGATCACACAGGTGAAATCATCCAGATGGGAGCCATCCTTCTGTGGAAGGAACTCGCCTAGTCAGTTGTACCACAATCAACTTGACTATCTCAAGTCATAGAGTGACTTGATTTGTACACAAATGTATGTTACGGTTTGCGTTTGATTCAGAATACAAAGTTCATTTAGGACTTAAAATCCGAATCTATCCAAATTAAATTTGATCTGCCAGTTATCGATATAGGAACATAATTTCCACACATACCAATGGGTATGTTATGCTAGGTCTCCACATGAAACCATGTGCTACAAGCTCTTACTGTTTCACTACTTATGGATTTCAAAAATCCATAATGCTTTCATAGGGAAAGCAGTGTGAGAAGTCATTTAAGAGGTAACGACTTCTTACTAATGAGTGAAAGCAATTCTCCTTAATTGCCACCTTTGATTGACCCAGTATGAGTGTTTGAACACTCTGCCTAGAACTTTTGGTCTGGATCCAGATAAGGTGTATGGCAATTTTGAGGAGTATGTCGACAATTTGTAGTCTTTTGTATGATTGATTCAATGGAACCAATTAAGCATGTGGAAATTTTTTACCCCTTGAACTCTGTCATTTCCCATAATAACAGAGTTAGGGCATTCCAATGACCCAACGCCTAAATTTGTGCACAAGTTGTGTTGGGGTTTTGGATGTTAAACATCCATAGGATTTGGATAGCAAATATCCATAATGTCTATCAACTTGATGTTGATATGCATGTACTGTCTTGGAGAATTCTCTCCCCCTAATCCGAGAATGCTTGCAAGAAGCAATATCCCCATGTAGCCATACTTCTCCCCCTCTTATTAAGATTTAGGAGTTGAGTGGTTTTGTCAGGTACCTCCACTCTTTCTGCTACATTCAACGGGAATCGGATTTGGAGACAACTTTATGACAAGTAAATGTATTTGGCAGACTATTTGCAATGTGTTGCAAATATAAGATATTTTGAACTGTTGGTTCAGATTCTTTGGTACGTGGATATGAGGATCAAATATCAATAGTGATACTCTCTTTTCTGATTCCTGGCATTCTATGTGTGGTAAGTATCTCCCCCTAATGTCTGGAATCTTCCTCAAAGATGTATTCAGCATACGGGCAATGAATAAATCTCCAAGTAGAGATCTGAGGTATTATTGAGTGACGGATAATGATACCTTGTGTAGACCTTCAATGCCCATTGATGTATGCTGCGGTGGTGATATCGGTACGTGCAAAACGTTACCGATTCACAGATGGGAAATGTTTTTGCTATAGGGCTAAATTTCCATGTACTAACTGCAATGGAGGGAGCCGTATGATTGCAGTTGATAAATTTAGATTTATGATGCGGTGTAAATCCTTATGCCACCAATTAGATGTTGGTAAATTGCAATTCTGTTTTGGGTCATCAAACAACAAACTTACTTCTCTCAATGTATTTTTGTTATTTCCTGAGACGTAGATTGCTCATAAATGATGGTAGGGAATTGCACGAAACGACGGTTGTTCCAAGTAGTGATTCGCACCGACCGACGTCGTAGTAGCCAAATTTTTGTACACATATAGTTTTTTTGATAAAACAAGAGGGCTAAGGAGGCCCTACTGGAATGCATTGGATAAAAAGCATAATTCAGTTTAAAAAAAGGTAATAGAATGAGAAGGAGGGGAAGCTAGGGAACCAGGAAAGGAAAGACAAAGAAGAGTAAAGCGAGTACAAGAGGCCTCCAACTTAGTTTAAGCAGTTTATCCATTCCTGAATTTTGGGAAAGTACTTCTTTGCTCTACATAGCATCAACTCTAGCTCCATCCTGAAGATGCTCTTGCAATTCTGAGTGCCGGGGGGATCTGTCTGAAGATCAGATTGTTCCTGCTCATCCAAATAGCCCAACAGTGAAGGATAATGATCTCCATAAAGAACTTCTGGTTTATTTGAATTCTGAGCCATTCCATGTTTTGGATGGGGTTCAGGCTATGGTTGACTTGAAGATTAAGTAGGCTCCAGCTTTCAGTAGCAAAAGGGCAGGTAATGAATAGGTGCTCAATTGTTTCCTCCATCTGTCCATTACATAGGACACAATTGAAGTCATCAAGGGCCATATTTCTTCTTTTTAACATGCTTCCGGTGTTTAGTCTGTCCTGAAGAATGAGACAGAAGAAAACTCTGTGTTTATTTTGACAGGAACTTCTCCAAAGCCACCTAAATGCTGCTGTTTGTAAACTTTTGATGATGCAAAAAAAATTTGATCCCCAGATGTAACCCCAAATGTCCTTGTCATCAGATAGCTGTAAAGTGTTTATACTTTGCTGGAGCTGCAGGAACTGGGAGTAAGCTTCTTCAGAGAGTGGCAGGTGGAAAATGTCCTATCAACTTTTAATGCTTTTGGCTTCTTCCACTGTTACAGCTTTGTTCTTGGCAAAAGAGAACAGCTCCGGGTAGTTCAATTGGGGGATACAATCATCCCAAATGTCTTGCCAGAGAAGACAGGTTTTCCCATCATTAAGCTCAGCCCTTGCTAAACCTTTGAATTTGTCCAACTGCTTAATAACATCCTTCCACCAAAAACAGCCTTGTTGGTACCTGGGACTGGGAGTCTTCCATCTCTGTAATATGATTCCCAGACCAGGCTAACCCAGGGAAGATCTTCTCTGTTGAAAATTTTATGGAGAAATTTCATTAGAAGTGCTTCATTTTGTGTCCTCAGGTTTAGAGCACCAAGACCACCTTCTTGTTTGGATCTACAGACTAAGGGCCATGCTGCAACTGTTGGCTTTTTAGAGTTCATATCTGAACCTTTCCAAAGGCAATGTCTCCTATATTAATCAATTTGCTCTATAACTGTGTCTTTGGCAAACACAACGAATTGTCTTTGTACAGTTGAACGGTAAATGTGAGTCTTTGGCAAAAAAAATCGTGTTGGAAGAGAGGATCATGCATGTGACCAAGCCTATTAGAGTTGGAATCATATCGAAAGAATATACTTTGCGCGTAACCTGGAAACTGCCCAGCGTTTGTTCTTCGAGTGCCCATCCTCGCGCACGGTCTGGGGAATGGTAGCAGCCTGGAGCGGATGCCAAAGCTTGCAGCCATCAGGCTGGTTAGAGAAACACGACATAGATGATTGGTTTGCCCAGGCGATGCCTAAAGAAGATAAGATGGGTCACACCCTGCTGATACTGACTCTTTGGTGCGTTTGGAAGTATAGGAACAGGATTACCTTCAGGGATTGCAGAAAGCCAGCACATGCACTATTTGGAGAAATAAAGGATACTTGTTACTGCTGGTCCTTAGCAGGTGGGGACGCTCTTAAGCCCCTAATGGTCGCCAACCCGGTAGTGAGTAATTAGCTTCTGAAAATCTCAAACCTCCGAAGCCTAGGTTGTGCCAGGCAGCGCCTCTCGCGCAGTCAAAGTCGAAATATTCCGGGTCTTTCCAAAAAAAAAGAATATACTTTACTATGGTCACATATTGATTAATGAATCCTGGAGTACCAAATACATAGAAGCACCCATATATATAGTTAATATGAATAGCCTAACATTTATTTTTTTGGTTCTGAATTCATTGATCACTTATCATCACGAGCATGAGGCTCCGACCATGGCGCTCCTGCCCTGACCTGGCTCAGTTGCGTCCACCGCTACCAGGGCCCCTAACCATCCGGCTGTTGTTCCCATCGCCTAGCCAGCCTACCTCCCCGGAGGCCCATTCTAAGGCCGCCGGACTTGGAGAAGATGACCACATCGCATCCTTGGATTGGGTAGAAAAATTCCAGTAAGGGAAAGGCTTAAGTCACACGAGTGAGGGATAGCTTTTACCTATAGAAAATATTCATGTGCGGCTTAAAAGTGTTTATCACAAGCGTATTCGGCAGGGACTCGAAGTCAGGCTCGAACCAAAGATTTTGATCCCTATATTTTTTGGCCCGATCCTAACCCGACTTGACGATCAGGCGGTCGCAAAAGCCAGCAAAAACAATAAAACAAACATGCCCTTATACAACGACCTTCTGTTGTTCTATCTAAGCATTCGGCTATTCACTTCCTCTGACAAACAATAGAGGAGGCTACATCTTTGCTACTATTCCCAAATGGCCATCAAGACCTCTCGCTAATCAGCCCATGCTACACTCCCTTCCGTTCCCAGCCCAGCCCCTGCGACAAGCCCATCATCAGCCCACCTGGCCTCCCACTCCCTTCCCTCTCCCTCTATCTGCCCTGTGCCCCGCTTGTCAGCCCCTCCTCACCCTCTCTCTTTCTCCTCGTGAGGGAGAATGCAGGGCCGCCGCTGCCCTTGTGCGCGCGGATTTTCCAAAGCACACAGCTGATGGGACACGCAGCTAACAAACAGTTCATGGCCGTGTTTAGTTGCCCGAATCGGCGCCGACCGATTCACTGTAGCTACGGTGTCGTTTTGTTTTTATTTGATAACAATGGTCCAATCGTTGACTAATTAGGCTCAAAACGTTCGTCTCGCAAAGTACAACCAAACTATGCAATTAATTTTTGATTTCGTCAACATTTAGTACTCCATGCATGTACCGCAAGTTTGATGTGATGATGAATCTTCTTTTTGCATAGTGTCAAAGTTGGGAATTTGGTGGAACTAAACAAGGCCCATGTATACATATTCTAGGCTTAAAATTGATTCATCAATCGCCACGCCAAATACCCTGCAACATAGACACCGTGGAGTGCCGGCCAGCATCACTTCCTCACTCAAACTAATGAGTTAAAAATGTCACATAAGTATTTCACATAAACGTAAGGACGATCAGTGTCATACTATGTTTGTGCTTAATCAGGCACTACGTACGTACATATACACCTGCTTGATCTTAATTTATATACCTAACACAAAGACGAACGTACTTTAATTTGATCATACGTGCACCAGATGCAATGCAACAAAGAGTTGCCATCTCTGGAATGAAACCTTACATGCATGGGCATGTAGTGTTGATTCATTCACGGACGGCGACGTGCAACCAGGGCGAAGAAGCCGCCGGCGGAGGTCGCGGCCCAGACGAGGACCCCGGCGGGCCACGGCACCACCCCGGCGACCTTCCACGCGAACAGCGCAGTGAGCAGCGCGCTCAGCGCCCAGACCCTGCGCCTCAGCCGCTCTCTCTCGGGCTCGGCAGCGGCGGCACCTTCATCAGGCGCCCCGGCCGCTGTCTCGTAGGCGCCAAGGGTGCGGTGCAGCAGCAGCACAGCACCGTAGCTGACGGCCACGAAAGCCACGGAGGCGACGTCGCCGGCGGCTTCCGCCTTGTGGATGGCCGCGGCGCAGGTCACGGTCAGGACGAGGATCGCGGTGAAGGCGGCGATCCCGCCGTTGGCGCGCCCGGCACCGGTGCGTCTCCGGTCCATCCGGCGATCTCGAGACGATGAGATTGCTTGCTTGTAGCTAGCGTAGTGCTTCTGCTTCTGGGTTCGCTGCGAAACGAGGCCTATACTTCCGGACAGGTCGTCGAGTCGTCGTTGTATTGACTGGCTTGACTGCTTGTGAGAATATAAACAGCTTAGGAGCCTTGTACACGAAGGAATATAAAAAGCTTCTCGGGCACAAGGATGAAAGCCAGCTGGGAACCTTTGTGGCCTACTTGACTTGTTGGGGCTTCAATTAGATCCTTAACGCGCATACGCCAACGGATCCCACCATCGACGTAGATGCAACTCGCACGTACCGTCAGAGAAAATCAGAAAAACAATGGACGACGCTGCAATCGATCGTCATCGAGGCAGCCTCATCCAATCGTTCCAGTTGCTTGCCGGACTGGGAATGGGATCGCAAGTGAGATATATATAGATTCTACTGTTAGATTGATCTCAATCGGTTGGCCAAATGGTTAAACGAGCCCTTGATCTGCGTCCTGATCGAGGACGCCGAGCCGTTTTTCTGGCTGATGGCCTCCCGTCGCGTAGTGTTATAAAAAGGAAGGTGGGGGGCCGGAGCACAAGACATGAGGTTCACTGCTGTCGTCAGTTCCCCACCGAGTCTAACCCTAGTCCGATCGAGAGGGGAGTGATGTGAGCGACGGGAAGCTCCATCGGTGTCGCTATTGGACCGCGCCCCACTACGATGCTACTTCTACTCCGACATCAGTGTCCACGTCACGGCGACGCCATGGCCGCCACTGCATACGGTGAGGTACATCACCAAGTCCTTATCTAAGTTATGTTTTACCCACTAGATCTGCGCCTAGAAGATCCTAGAAGACAATCATCCACACCCGAAGGTCGGTGTGCACTGTCTGCAAAATTCTGTCTCCCACACTAATCCAGTGGTCACTAATTAAATCCTCATCCCCACAGACCAGCTACGTACACATTTTTTAAACGAAATCAGACCAACTACACATTAGTAGAGAACGAATTGATAAAAGGTTAATTGGCTAAATTTAGACCATAACATCTAAACAGGGCTTTAGAGAGCAACATTTCCTTTCCTTTTCCTCTCTTACATCTAGGAGTATCCTTTAACTAGTTGATCTACAAGCATTCACTTCATGTCTTCCAGTAACAAACAATAAGAGGCTACAGTACTCCCTTAAAAAAAGGCTACATCTTGCAATGCGCTAATGTCAATCAAGGCCTCACCCTCATCGGGCCGTGCTACACGCTTGTGGGCTATATAGTCTTAGTGCAGGAATAATCGGCCCGTCGGAAATAAGAAGTATGCATTAAATCGATCGCAAAAACCGCTGAAAAGATATCCAATTTTTGAAACACGACCTACTAGTTGTGGCGTTTTATGTTGCATGAGTTATGAACATCAAAATTCAAGGAGCGATAAAATTAAGCGGAAAAAAAATCACAATTGGAGCGATACTGATAAGCAAACCCGGCCCGTAGAATACGTACAGGTTGTGGTAGGCCATATCATAATAATTCATCAGAACGCAGTACATCGAAAGCACTATATCTTTTTTAGATAATTGAAAGCACTATCTATACGCCACATGTTTGTACATCTGTATCCGGAATGTTTGAAGTAGCTAACAATCCATGCATTTCCTTCTTCACCGTCACACGGGAAAACCTTCAATCAAATATATATGCACAACATCGTGCATGGTAACCTGCCAAATTAAAAGTAAATTTAAACTCGTCGGATCGGGCGCTTGATCGAACTGAATATTTGTAGAGTAGCACACCATCCAAAAGTTTGAGAGAATAACCAGGCAGCATATATAGCAGCATCTATCCCATGTAATTACTGGAGACGCTTGGAGCTTAGAAGTTACACATGAACACATCCATCAATGGCGCGCCGCACCCAAAAAATACCCTGCAACATCATCAATCAGTCGACTCAAACACGATTGAGGCCCATGCCCATTGGTATATATTATTTCTTTTTTTGGGGGGAAAAAGAAAGATCCAATGTTATTTCGTCAAGAAAATTATATGTTTGCGCTCAAATGATTACTGCATATATAGATTATATGTCCGTACGTACCTCAAATCTTTAGAAACAGAGACCCGACCATGTATGCAAGCTCATACATATGGAATGGAAACAAGACAGGGGCGATCATCAGCCGATCACTCAGGTGCAGGTGCAGTGCTCAGAGGCGTCGACGCTGCTGACGAAAGAGGAGAACGAAACCACCAGCAGACGTCACGGCAGCCGCGGCCCAGACGCCCACCGCGACGGGCCACGTCATCACGCCGGCAACCTTCCACGCGAACATGGCGGTGAGCAGCGTGCAGAGCGCCCAGACCCTGCGCCTCAGCCTCCGTCGGCGCCACCTCGTAGGCGCGAAGGAAGCGGAGCAGCGGCAGGAGAGCGCCGTAGCTGACGATCACGAAAGCTACGGAAGCGACGTCCCCTGCCGCCGCTGCTGTGTAGATGGCTGAGGCGCCGGTCACGGTGCGGAGGACGGCTCCCCACGCCGGCGACTCTCTGATGCTCCATCCTAAGGCGATAGCTTGCAGGCGGTACAAGGTTGTCTCCTTTGGGGGTTTGAGCTTTGAAGGCACACGAGGCTTGCTGGCTGCTGCTCGTGAAGGTCGTGAAGGCGTGAAAGAGAGAAGGGATCACGGGAATCTGGAACACGCTACCTAGCTTCGTTGCATTGGAAGGCACGGAACCTATAATAATTTAATTTATTTTTCCTTTAATTCAATCCTGTAATGATTTTGTCTTCTTTTTTTTCTTTTATTTTATCTAAGAGATTATTTCTAAAAGGGAAAAGGATAAAGGAGGGACCCTTATTACAACATTATGGGTCTGGCCCAGCAAGGACTGCCACGGCACGTCAGCTACACGTGGGCCTTGTTGCTGGGATTATTTTTTAATTTTAACCCTTTTTTGAATATAATTTTAAATATAACACTATCGGTTTTTTTAAACTAACACTTTTGGCCGCGACTATTGCCCTGGTGCGGCCAAATGCCTGTGTCGCGCCATGCATGGTGGCACGGCAGAGAGCTGACGTGGCGAGGGCCGGCCTGGGGGACCGCTGACGTGGCAGCTCCTGCCGCGCCACCTACCTTGGCGCGGCAGTGCCGCGCCCTGATCCGTGGCACGGCAGGACCATATATATACCGCGTGTGAGCCCGCCCGCCCGCACGCACCCTGCCCTGCTCGCCCGCCCGAAGCCGCCGCCGCCGCCGCCGCCAGTCGCCAGCGCCCTGCCAGCGGCCGCCCTGCCACGCAGCGCACGCGCCCGCCCGGCCTCGCCCCGCCCGCGCCCGCCTGGCCCGGCCTCGGCCGCTTGCCCACGCCGCGCCTGGCCGCTCCCCCCGCGCAGCGCCCTAGCCGGTCGCGCCACGAACGCCGACGCGTCAAGGCCGCCCGCTCCTAAGGTACCCCGTCTCGATTTCATATTTTTTTTATTATTATGTAGTATAGTTAGTATTTTTTGTATTCCTAAGGTACCCCACGTGCCCTCGCAATCCTCGAGCGGTAGAACGGACATCGAGGCTATTTTCATTGAGTATTAGTGTTTTTGCGATATCTTAGAACGACTATTGTTATGTGACGGATGAAGTACCTTTCGTAATAATAGGTACTATTACATTAAGCATGGAGTATACTTTCGTAATAAACTTATTAGGAGATATAAATATTGATACCGTTTTTTTAGTTTTGATCAAACTTAAACATATTTGACTACATGAGAAGTAAGACATGTATTTATTTTGAGACGGAGGGATTACTTGTAATTTTGGAACCAAAGTTTTATATGGATTGATTATGTATTTATTATCTAGTATACTTAGGATTTTGGGTTTAGGGATTTAGGCTAGTTAGGTTAGTGAATTTGTTTGTGAACTTACTAATGTTAACTTGAATTTTGTTAATTTGAATACTCTAACGCTTTGTTTATCAATTTGTAAAAGGATGACCCCTCCCACGCAGCACCCGTTGTACCCCATTCTTGAGGTGGAGTACGACGACCAGCACCGAGCACACATCTTGAGTGACAACGACGCAGAGGTGTCCTTGCCTCCTTTGAGGCCCCGCACGCACACTAGGGCGCATCAGTGGGACGAGCATTATACGCCGTACATACGGCGTGCCGGCTTCCTCGAGCTTGTCCGTGTTGTGAACCATGGTCTTCCGCCCCTTGACCCAACACTACTTACTGCAGCTGTAGATAGGTGCGAGTGCATTATTTGTACGTAAACTTTCTTGTAATAAATTTGAGGCAACTAACAGTCGTTCTATTCTTATAACAGGTGGAGGCCTGAGACCCACACGTTCCACCTACCTTGTGGCGAGATGACCATGACGTTGCAGGACGTGAAGGCTATTTTAGGCCTTCGGTTGGGGAGACTTCCAGTGACAGGGATAATTGACAACAATCACTGGAGGGAGCTGGTGGCTCAGTTTACTGGCTTTCTTCCACCGGACGACGATGCTTCCAAGAAAAATAAGTGAGTAATTTCAAGCCTATTTAATACTTGCATTGCTTTACAGCTAGCATCGGGCCTCATTTTCTTTGATCAATTACAGGAAAACTTCCGGTGTTTCGTCGTCCTGGATCACAGAGCGCTTTGATTACTCGGACCCACAAGCTGAGGAGGCTCAGATCGACAGGTTCACTCGAGTGTGGCTCTGGCACTTTCTTGATGCTTTCCTCTTCTCAGACGCCTCGGGCAACACCATCAGCTGGATCATCCTTGACATACTTCGCCAGCTGTGGGAAAACATAGCGGGGTACAGCTGGGGCAGCGCAGTCCTGGCATGGACGTATCGACAGCTATGCGTTGCCTCTCGTCGCACCTCAGGACATGCGAAACTTGGGGGTTGCTCATACCTACTCCAAGTTTGGTGTTGGGAACGATTGCCCATTGGGAGGCCCCTTAATAATGGTTTACCGGTAAGTACTTCGGTTCATTATATTCTTCCAAGCAGT